CTTCAAACTGGGAAACCTGCGAGTTTCTCAACTTGGGGAGAAGCTCATTAAGCCTTTAGTTTAAGAAAAAAGTTCATTTTGGTCTCTTGAAAACTAGACCTTTCCTTATCCTTGCCCATGTCCTTTTCTTCTATGCTCCAGGAATTCTCCTTACAGTTTGCTATTTTCTCCTGTAAGCTAAGCTTGGTTTTGCTTCCCCGCTGGGTTTTTTTTTTTTTTTTTAACATTTGTCTTTTCAAAGAGAGAGAATTGACCTCCAAGTTCACCTTCAATTCCTTATACTCTAACACTCTACCTATTAGGATTTTGGGAGAACTACGATATAAGATATGATTTTGTAAAGGCTTCTATAAGGGTAGAAACTGCTGCTTCAGCCACATTTCTAAACATCCCATTATTAGGGGAAAGAGTGAAATTATAGCAGCTAATAAGTACCTATTTGCACAAGGGCCTGTACTGTTTTTTGAAGCTCTAATCTCTTAGTTTTCTGGAAATAAAAAGTTCTCTCTTCTAGTCTTTCATTGTGTTCTTAGTTGGATCCATTTCTTCCTCCCAAACATTGGTGTTCCTAAGATTGCACCCATGGATAAGTGGGCTTCTCACTCTACACTTTATTCCTTATAATCTTATCTAAAAGTGGGTGTATGTATGAGACAGAGAGAGAGAGAGAGAGAGAAAGTCTAAAGCTCTAGGGAAGTGAAGGGCTTGAGAAATAAATTTAAAAGCATCGATTTAAAAAACTGAAGTTACATAAAGTACATTTCTTCCAACAACAGGAAAAGAATTATATTAGAAATCAGTAACAAAATATAATTTAAAAGTGCTCAAAATTTTGAAAAAAATTAAAACTATGAGTCAAAGAAAAAATAGATAAATTCCTTGAAAATACAACTTACTAAGATTTTCAGCAAAAAGAGGATGGGGAAATCTGAATAGTACTGCTCTTATTTAAAAAATCAAATCTATAGTTTGAAACCTTTCTACAGAGAAAACTTCAAGCCTAGATGGATGAACTGGTACATTCTTCAACATCTAAGGTAGAAAAACACCAATCACACACTGATCCAGAAAATAAAAAATGAAGAAACACAATCCACTACATTTTACAAGGCCAGCATAAATTTAATACCATATTCTTCCAAAGTCATTTTTAAAAAGGAATATCACAGGCTAATCTCTCTTCCGAACACAAATTTAAACTACAGCTATATATATTAAAAAAAAGATAATATATCATGGCAAAGTGGTGTTTATACCAAGAATGCAAGGTTATTTTAACACCATAAAATCAATCAATTAGTAAAAATCACCATCTTGACAGAATAAAGAAGAAACATTACAGTCATCTCAATTAAAAACTTTTGGCAAAATTAAATTTCTCAATAACTATATTAAATTTAAAAATTGAATTAAATCAAAAGAAGTCTTAGAAACTAGTGATAATGTAATAATATAATAGAAACTAGTGATAATATAATAATATAATAGAATATAATAGAATAGAAAATCAGTGATAATATAATAATATAATATGGAAAGTATATTTCCAAGAACCCAAATATGGGGTCATCATAATAATGATGAAATATTGAAAGCATTGTCTATGCAATCATGAATGAGACAATGATACCTTCTATCACTTTAGTTCAATCATTTGCTGGAAGAATTAACTACTGTAATAGGAGTATATATATATATAGACATTGACATAAATTGACTATATATATATATAGCATATATATATCAATAATGATTTTATTTTTATAAAAATAATGATTTTAAAAGGAATAATAAAACACTAATTGTTTAAAGACAAATTATTATATATGTGGAATATCCAAAAGAATATACAGATAAACAGTAAGAATTAATAAGTAAATTTAACAAGGTCACTGGATAGAAGTTCATTAAACAAAATATAATTGTATTTCTAAATATAAATAAGAGAAAATTAAATTTTAAAAGTGATATCGCTTATATAGGCACCAAAAACATCAAATACTTAGCAATAATTTTATTTTTTATTTTCTATTTTTTTAAAGATTTTATTTATTTATTTGACAGAGAGAGACACAGCGAGAGCAGGAACACAAGCAGGGGGAGTGGGAGAGGGAGAAGCAGGTCTCCCGCCGAGCAGGGAGCCTGACGTGGGACTCGATCCCAGGACCCTAGGATCATGACCTGAGCCGAAGGCAGACGCTTAACGACTGAGCCACCCAGGCGCCCTACTTAGCAATAATTTTAATAAAAGGTGTGTAAAACACCCTCCCGGGAAACTAAATTTTACTGAGATAAAGAAGACCTAATTAATGGCAGAACATACATAGATTAAAGGTTCACTTTGGTAGAAATACCATATTCCTCAAATTGATCCATAGATCTCATGCAATCCATCAAAATCACAAACGAATTTTTGTGTGGAATTGACAAGGTGATTGCAAATCTACATGAAAATCCAAATGGCTAACAATAGCAGAAATAATCTTGAATAAGAACAAAGTTGGAAGACTTACCATATATTAAGACTCACTATAGAGCTTTAGTAACTAAAATATTTGTGGTAATGACACAAAGGTAGACAAATAGACCAATAGAAAAAATAGAAAACATAGAATCATATTCACATATATATGGTCACTTGATTAATAGTAAGGCCAATAAGTAAGTCTAAATAAATTTAAAAGGATTGAAATCATACAAAATATGTCTCTGACCACAATGGAATGAAATTAAAAATCAAAAAAGGTAGAAAATTCAGGAAATTAACAATTATACGAAAATTAATCAGCACACTCCTTTTTTTTTTAAAGATTTATTTATTTATTTGAGAGAGAGACAGAGACAGAGAGAGTGAGCAGAGGGAAAGAGAGAGATAAACAGACTCCTTACTGAGCAGGGAGCCCGACGTGGAGCTTGATCCCAGGACCGTGAGATCATGACCTGAGCTGAAATCAAGAGTTGGATGCTTAACTGACTGTGCCACCCAGGTGCCCCTAAACAGCACACTCTTAAATAATCAATGGATCAAAGAAGAAACAACAGGGAAAATTAGAAAATACTTTGAAATGAATGAAAACAATAAAACAACCTGCCAAAACTTATGGGATGCAGGTGAAGTAGTGGTTAGAGGGAAATTTATAGCTATAAATGCCTGTATTTTATTAAAAAAAAAAAAAAAAAGATCTCAGAGCGCCTAGGTGGCTCAGCCAGTTAAGCCTCCAAGGGGAAGCTAACATTAATCAAGTGCCTTCATGTTCCCAAAGTTCTCTAAATATCCTTTTATTCAATCCACACAATAACATCATCCAAATGACCTAAGAAACTTGGAGAAGTTTGTCCTTGGCTCTTTTTCTCAATATTTTATTTACTGTCTTGGTTAAATAAGTTCTCCATTTAACACTGATTAAAGTTCTTTGTGTAAAAAATTTATAGGATACAGATATGCATGCACACACACACACACACACACGATGGTTTGCATATATAGAAAATCTAAGTTTATTCAAGTAATACATAGTTAAAAATAAATAAAATTTTTAAAATTTTTACATGGCAAAAAAGCTGGAGGGGATATATAATAGAATAAATAAAAGACATTCATAATTATTCCAAAATTCTGCAATGCCCAAACAAAAACCTTCAAGATGAAATTTGACATTTATAAGTATAAAATCCAGTATTTTGGTTGAAGAAACCAGTTAGATGTTCAAGATCAGGGGGAAAGGCTTGAAATTAGACCTCACTGAAAGCAAAGAAACCTTACTTAACTCCAAGCATATTAGGTGGTAATGGTCATTAAACAAACAATACCCATATCTGTCATAAAATGAATGATACAATCTTACACAGCATTTATAAAGAATTACAGCAAGATCTGGAGAAGTAAAAATTTTCACTGTTACATGCCAGTTGTTGATTTCTGGGAGCCACACTTCAAGAAAGACAATGCCAAACTCTGGAGTGTACACAGGTTAGATCTAAAAATCATTTTCTTTTTTAATTTTACAAATACCAAGTATCTACCCAGTGCTCAACAGTTTTCTAGGAAGATTCAAGTTTAACCCATAGTTCCTGCCTTCAAAGAACATCACAAACAATTATCTGACATATTCCTCAATCACACTGCCCTCCTCCGGACTCTGCCCATTCAACCCCTAAGCAGATGGGCTCTGTTCATACCCATTCTAGGGTACACAGAACTCAAAGTATCCAGATGACAAGCAAGTTAGCCTACTTGGTAAGCCTGCTGTAACTCCTTGCTCTTCTGTTGAGAAATTAGGGTCCTTCTAGGTGCAGTGACTAAGGCCCTAAGATTATTGCCTGCTATGCAATTTCTCTAAGGCTATCTGGCCTTCCATACTTTTGTCTTTTAGATTGATACTTGCCTCTAAGTTTGAATTTCTCTACTGAAGCCTTTTTTTTCTTTTTAAGATTTTATTTATTTATTTGTCAGAGAGAGCACAAGCAGGGGGAACTGCATGCAGAGGGAGAAGCAGGCTCCCTGCTGAGCAAGGAGCCAGATGCAGGACTCAATCCCAGGATCCTGAGATCATGACCTGAGCCGAAGACAAACCTTAACTAACTGAGCCACCCAGATGTCCCATGGAGCCTTCTTGAGTAGTGTTAAAAATTGCCTTGATAATGACCATTGACTTGGTTTGCTGGTTAGGATCAGCTGAAGAGATTCAGTGTCTCTGTGATTCATCTAACCCTTGGGGTACGTTCTAGACCTCTTTGACACCAGCAGCCTCTAGATCATTGATTACCTGAAACTATGCTCCTGGGTATGTCCCTGGAAACCCAATGGGATGCATCATCTCCAGGTCCCAATGCCCTCCACATCAACCTTTTCTGCTTAAGACTTGCATTTCTCTGACAGTGAAGACAGACAATAATACAAATAATACAGGACAGTCAGAAAGAAAGAAAATAAGGCACGTTTTAATTATGGTTTTAAGGTGTTAAAACAAATCACTGTACAATTCTAAAGTAGCTCTTACCTGATTAGGGATTCAGAAAATAGTTTATAAAGGAAGTAACATTTGATCTTGGTTTTGAGTGATGAATAATTTTTATTACCAGGATTGCTGAAAGTAAGGGTGGATCCAGATTTTGTGTGGCCTGAAACCTGTAGAAATGACAGAAGAGGGGACTCATAAAATGCAAAGTGACAACACAAAATTAAGTATTCACCATTCATTAGATAATAATGATTATTCATTAAGCAATCATTTAATGAGAATGAAAAAAGAAATGTCAATGAACTTTTAAAAGCTGATAAGTACCAAAAACATCACAACAAGCAGAAAATAACATAATATTTATATTAACTTACTACCTGACATTTTTTGGCTACATACTCTTTAAATCACTTCTTCATATGATGCTAATTTTGTAACGTATTTCTAGAAAGAATAGAAAGATATTTCAATCTTTTATTGATTTGGTTGACCAAAATTTGTTTTTTATTACTTATAGTATAAAAGGGTTCCTTTGATTTCATAACTCATTACACTTAATGTCACATAAATTTTTAGGAGTATTGTCAAATTTGGGGAAATATCTGCCAAGTTCTTTTCTTATAAGAGACCTATTTACTGTAGTACTGCTATAAGCTTACATCCTAAAAGCATAAGAAGTCTGATAAATGGTATTTTGTGTAGGTCCACCAAAATATATATATATATATATATATATATATATATATATATATATATAGTGATAATTTTATATGCTATGTTACCATGTAGAGATCTGCCAAGAGAGCTTCTGTCTTAACTATGTCAATAAGGACAACTTTGTTCTTATTTACTACGTATGTACATTTACTACAATTGTACATAGATGATTAAAAGAACGTCTCACAGACTAACTTCTAAAGGATACACTAGGATCTATAGGATATAGTTACACTGATGTGCAACCTCTCATCCTGCCATTGTGGTGTTTTTTTTTTTTTATCTTTTGTTAATCAGCATACATCACATCATTAGTTTGTGATGTAGTGTTCCATGCCATTGTGTTTTGATGCTGGTAAGTAGGCCTAGCAGAAAAGAGAAGGATTTCTGCAACCCATTCCTACACTGGGTCAGCTTGAAATACCTACACATAAATGTGTCCAGTTGTAATAACTATACATCAAATGACTGCAAATTACATCTTTAACTATACATCAAATGACTGCAAATTACATCTTTATCCCACTGTACCGGTTTAAACTAAATGTATTCCCGATTCAGCTCCTCCTTAGCTCATTCCAGAAACGTCCAGAAATTTTTGAAGTCTAGATAGAGCTTGAATCTGTGGCTTACATTACATTACAGTTGGGTAGCACGAGTCTGTTTCATCCCACTGAGATACCACCTAAGCCCTCAAAGCTACTGCAATTGTACCAAGAGCTGAGGCATCCCAGCCATTGTATATTTAAGTAGCTTTTACTTGAAATTCTTTTTTTGCCTTTTTAAAAGTTTATATAAATTCAATTAGCCAACTTATAGTACATCATTAGTTTCAGATTCTTTTTTTTAATTTAACACATTTACCTGTTTTATTGGTATCACTTGGCTTTTTAAATATTTTTATTGAAGTATAACTGACATAAAACATGGGGAAGAAAGCAAGGTAAGTCAGAGTGGTGAGAGATAGTATGTTGCTTTGTAAAATTTACCCAAAAAATCATATGATCCTCCAAATGTATGGCCAAGGCCCTCCCAGACCCTTGAGTGGACCAATCAAGAGAAGGCCTTGAAGCTAAAGCTTCATCACTTCACAGTAAATACACCTCAGTCTTCAATGCATTTGTTTTTTGGTTGTTTTTATTGTTTTTTTAAATTGTATTTATTTATATGAGAGAGCATGAGCAGGGGGGAAGGGGAGGGGCAGAGGGAGAGGGAGAAGCAGGTTCCCCACTGAGCAGGGACCCCAATGTGGGACTCCATCCCAGGACCCTGAGATCATGACCTGATCCAAAGGCAGACACTTAACCGACTAAGCCACCCAAGTGTCCCAATATCTTACTGTTTTGATTTGCATTTCCCTTATGATTATGATGCTGAGCATTTTTTCATATTCCTGTTGACCATCTGTATAGTTTTGTTTTGTTTTGTTTTGTTTTGTTTTTTAGAAAAATGTCTATTTAGATTCTTTGGGATTTTTTAATTGGATTTTTTTTGTTATTAAGTTGCATGAGTTCTTTATGTATATTGGGTATTAACTCCTTATTAGATATATGGTTTGCAAATATTTTCTCCCATTCAGTAGGTTGCCTTTTCCTTTTGTTGATGGTTTCCTAAAAACTAAAGCTGTGCAGAAGTTTTTTAGTTGGTTGTTGTCCCATTTGTTTATTGTTGCTTTTATTGTCTTCACTTTTGGTATCCAAAAGATCATCTCCAAGACCTATGTCAAAGAGCTTATTGCCTATGTTTTCTTCTAAGAGTTTTATGGTTTCAGGTCTTACTTCAAGTCTTTAATCCATTTTGAGTTAATTTTAGTGTACAGTGTACTTTAGTGTACTTTCATGATGATGGCAGCTGAGATTAAAAAGTGAATGGGTCCTGGAGCAACAGCTGGTGGTGCAGAGAAGTCCAATGTGAAAATTCAGAGCACTCCGGTCAAGCAGTCAGGTGGAGGTTGCTGCTAAAATTTGCCTCCGTCCTTCTCTCACAGCAATGAATTTGCAATCTGAACCCAAGTGAAAAAACAAAATTGCCTGAATTGTACTGTATGTAGCTGCACTACAACAGATTCTTACCGTCTCCACAAAGGTCAGAGATTGTAGATGGTCAATACTGACTTTTTTTTATTCCCTTGACTCAAGACAGCTAACTTCATTTTCAGAACTGTTTTAAACCTTTGTGTGCTGGTTTATAAAATAATGTGTGTAATCCTTGTTGCTTTTCCTGATACCAGACTGTTTCCCGTGGTTGGTTAGAATATATTTTGTTTTGATGTTCATATTGGCATGTTTAGATGTCAGGTTTAGTCTTCTGAAGATGAAGTTCAGCCATTTTGTATCAAACAGCACAAACAGTGTCTGTCACTTTCCGTGCATAAAGTTTAGTGAGATGTTATATGTAAGATCTGATTTGCTAGTTCTTCCTTGTAGAGTTATAAATGGAAAGATTACACTATCTGATTAATAGTTTCTTCATACTCTGCACATAGTTTGTGGCTGCAGAATATTGTAATTTGTTGCACACTATGTAACAAAACAACTGAAGATATGTTTAATAAATATTGTACTTATTGGAAGTAAAAAAATAATAATAATAATATACCGGTCTGGTTTCATTATTTTGCCTGTGGCTGTCCAGCTTCTCCAACATCATTTATTAAATAGATTGTCTTTCCCCTTTGTACATTCTTGGCTTCTTTGTCATAAACCAACCAGCTATATATGCATGGGTTTATCTCTAGGCTCTCTATTCTATCTCATTGATCTAAGTGTCTGTTTTTATGTTAATACCACATTGTTTTGATTACTATAGCTTTCTGACATAATTTGAAATTAGGGAGCATGATACCTCCAGCTTTGTCCTTCTTTCTCAAGATGGCCTTGGCTATTCAGGGTCTTTTGTGGTTCCATACAAATTTTAGGATTGTTTGTACAATTCCTGTGAAAAATGCCAATGGAATTTTGGTAGGGTTTGCACTGAACCTCTAGATTGCTTTGGGTAGTAAGGACATTTTAATAATATTAATTCTTCCAGTCCGTGAGCACAGAATACCTTTTCATTTATTTGTGTCTTCTTCAGTGTCTTTCATCAATGTCTTATAGTTTACAGAGTACAGATCTTTCACCTCCTTGGTTAAATTTATTCCTAGGCATTTTATTCTTTTCAAAGTAATTATAAATGGGGTTATTTTCTTAATTTCTCCTTCTGATAGTTCATTATTAGGGTATGTATAGAAATGCAACAGATTTCTGTATATTGAATTTGTATCCTGCACCTTTACTGAATTTGTTTATTAGTTCTAAGAGTTTTTTGGTGGAGTCTTTGGAGTTTTCAATATATACTGTCATGTCATCAGAAATGATGACAATTTTACTTCTTTCTTTCCAATTGGATGCTTTTTATTTCTTTTTCTAGTCTACTTGCTCTGGCTAGAACTTCCAGTACTATGTTGAATAAAAGTGATAAAGTGGGCATCATTGTCTTAGAGGAAAAGATTTCAGTTTTTCATCATTGAGTGTGTGAGCTGTGGCCTTGCCATTTATGGCCTTTATTATGGTGCCACATATTCCCTCTATACCCACTTTGTTGAGACTTTTTATCATAAATGGATGTTGAATTTTGTCACATGCTTTTTCTGCATCCACTGAGATGATCATATGATTATTATTCTTCATTTTGTTAATGTAATGTATCACATTGATTCATTTTCAGATGTTGAGCCACCTTTGCACCCCTGGAATAAATTTCACTGGATCATGGTATATGATCCTTTGAATGTATTGTTGAATTCGGTTTGCTAGTATTTTCTTAAGGATTTTTGCATCTGTGTTCATCAAGGATAATGGCCTGTAAATTTCTTTTCTTGTGGTGCCCTTGTCTGGTTTGGGCATCAAGGTGATACTGGCTTCATAAAATGAGTTTGGAAGTATTCCCACCTCTCTATTTTTTGGAAGAGTTTGAGAAGGATTGATATTAATTCTTATTTGAATGTTTAGTAGAATTCAGTAGTGAAGCTGACTAGTCCTGGATTTTTGTTTGTAGGTAGTATTTTACTTACTGATTCAATCTCCTTACCCATCACCAGTTTGTTCAGATTTTCTATTTCTTCATGATTCAGTCTTAGAAGGTTGTATGTTTCTAGCAATTCATCTATTTCTTCTGGGTTGTCCAATTTGTTGGGTGTGCAATTCTAGTAGTCTCTTATGATCCTTTGTATTTCTGTCATACCAATTGCAATGTCTCCTCTTTCATTTCTGACATTACTTATTTGAGCCCTCTCCTTTTCTCTTGATGAGTTGAGCCTAGCTAAAGGTTTATCAATTTTGTTTATCTTTTCAAAGAACCAACTCTTGTTTTTATTGATCTTTTTTATTGTCTTTTTAGTCCCTATTTTATTTATTTCTGCTCCAATCTTTGTTATTTCCTTCATTCTGCTTCGTTTGTTCTTCTTTTC